ACGGTCCACTGTAGTCCAGCACAGTGAGGACGTGTTGAAGCCACAGCAAAACTATGGTAAAACCCTGGTAAAAATGCCGGCATCAATACCGCAGTAGGTTTCGCAAGGGAAGTAATGGCGGGGGATTGGAAGTCTCTGGTCTCTGCTGAGCCGGAGCTGAACCCGAGGCTGTGCAGGTGATCCTGAGTTGCCGCGCATTCCCACTGCGACTCCGGAGCAATCCGGAGGCAGACAGGAAGTGGACTTCTGTGGCCCACAGCTCGGACACAGAGGAACTCGGAAGAAGAATGGAGCAGAAGGTGTTAAAAAGAGAAGGAGAAACAGCTAGAAACTACAATCACACAACTCCAGAGATGCTTTTCTCCCTTTTAATTAAATTAAAACTATGGATTTTGGACTGGAGGCTTTTCTCTCTGTCAGAGATGGACACCTATAGTTTTTGCAAACTGCAGCCCCACCCTGCCATCCACTTCAGCTTTCAGATCGTGCCTCTCGAACCCTTTCCCATACCCCCTGACCCCCAGCAGGAGCGGGGCTCTGAGGCAGGAGAGCCGCCTGGTAAGACTTGGAGAGGCGCCCCTAGTGTCCCCTCTCTCCTCACTGTTCTTTGGGTTTGGCACTTGGAATTTTCGCCTGGATCCTGTGGAATAACCAGAAGGAGACACAGAGTTTTAAGGAGCTGTGGCTGTAGGCAATGCAGAGTTCAGCACCCAGCTCTTATCTCTGTTTTTCATCTGCCACCTCTTTAATTCTGAAAGCCACAGCTCTCCCTCCAGCTCTAAGAGGAACATTCAGATGAGATGCCCTGTCCTCCCCTGAGTGTTGATCCCTGCCCTACTGTTCACACTGGGGTTACCAGCTGGCTCCAGATCCAGCCCACCCTTTGAGTCAGGACAGGTCTTTCCTTTTACCCTCTAAACAGAAACAAAACGGCCTGTATAGTAAACTGGTGACGTCTGTTTATACTGCCAGCCACAGATTCCACTGATCAGGCGGTCAGAACAGGTGACTCCCATTCTTGACTCCCAGCAAAGATGGGCAAATGAACAGGGGACAATCGTCAATTCTCAATATGGCCAACGTTAACGGAGTAGAGAAGAAACAGTGCAAATACAAAGTATTCAAAATTCTGTTTTTTGTATAACACTGTTTTAATAAAGCTTAGTGATGATGAAGCTGTTAATTAAATATGTTCAATATAGGAACAAATTATTGTCAACCAGTGTGTTTTCATTTACAGACCAGGAGACCAATCTGGTGGTCCTGGTCAGCACTGATCAGGCACATCATTGAGGACGTTTTTGTCCACAATAAGAAGCAGATAGCTTATCTCCTGTTTACGTCTGGTCATTCTGATTCTGATCACTTCTCTTCTGGCCATTGTGATGTTTTCATGCTGACCAACACATTTTTACAAAGCTTTCAGTGCTACACGTAGCAACAGACCATGTAGCAGAAAGAGAAACCACTGTGACACATGTACCCATGTGAGATAGCCTACACAACACAACCACACCCCCACAGCCTACAGAGCAGGCATATAGTTACAGATCTGCCAATTGTGTCAGGTGAATACAATAATAGCTGCAAAGAAATCTGACTGCTTGGACACCTTATCTCTCTGTAGAACCCCCAAACTGCTTGCCTCAGTCCTATCTTGCAGAAAAAAACAGAAACTTAGACTGAAGATAAATGCAGAAAGTAGTTCCCCACACATTCCCCCAGGGGGCGCTGTACTCACTTGTTTGTGATGTCAGTGATGAGGCCTGTGACCAGCCCCACGTACTGGTCTATCTGCGTCTGCAACACAAACACACATGACTAAGAATTCTGGCCACAATCAATATGCTGAGAGCTATCAGCACAGTATGTAGTGCAAACAGTTGCTTGCAAAGCTTTGAGTTGCTGTTCGTATGTGTCAAGGAGAAGAAGATGATGATGATAATATTACAGTACTGTAATATTCTGTTCTGTGTTTTCAATGCATTTGTATCTATCCCAGTGCAGAATAAGGTACTTTCTTCCTAGTTATCCATGATTCTATATTGCATTTACTTTGCTGTGCTCTGGTATTCCAAAGCCAGGAGCGCCTTTACTGGCTGAGCTACCTGTGAGCTCCAAGACAGACAGGAAACAGAAGCTGCAATAGTGATCCCTCAAAAACCCATGAATAAAGCAGGTGGCTGAGGAACAGGACCGAGCAGGAGAAGAGACGGACGCAGGACATTACCTGGTGTTGTCTGTAAAGCAGCGGCAGGGAGAAAGCACAGATCACAGCTGCAACACAGGAGAAACTGGAGTCAGCCTGGGAAACAGAGGGCACTACGTCCTCCACATGGGTCACGCCCAATCACCACCGTCACACACCGAGGGCACCAGCGTCCTCCACATGGGTCACACCCAATCACCACCGTCACACACCGAAGGCACCACGCCCTCACCATGCGTCGCACCCA